AAGGGGCCTTTTTTGCCTTGGAGCGGTTTTCGGGGCCCGGGCCCCCCCGCGTCGCTCGAGCGAGCGCCTGAAAGTTGGCGATGAAGGCGGCGCGCGCCTGCGCCGCGTCGGGACCGCCGCCCGCAGCGCCGCCGCGCAGGGCGTGGGCGTAGCAGATCTCAAAGCGCACGCCGCGCGCGACGGCGGCCATGCAGGGCTTGGGGCGAAAGTGAAAGTCGAAGCGCGCCGTCAGGTCGAGGGAGATGAGGGCCGGGTCGGCGAGGGCCAGGCAGGCGGAGGTGAAGGCGCGCTCGTTGGTCGGGCGGACGGCGAGGAGGTCGTAGGCGGCCGCGAGGCTGGGCATGCGGTGGTTCTGGGCCGGGTCGGAGTAGACGAGGGTCGCGCGGTGGAGGATGGTCGGGCGGCGCGGGGTCGTTGGGTTTGCTGGTTGCGGCGCCCTCGCGGATGATGATGATGATGATGATGATGTGGAGGGAGCATCGACGTCGAGCTTCGGCAGCGGGTTCGTGATGGTCGACGGCAGCGGCCCGTCTATTATGTGGTTCAGGGCGATGACGTTGTAGCCGAGGGCTGCGCTGAACGTGATGGTGTTCTCGAGGTCTCGGGTCGTGGTCGAGGGGGACCAGGGGATATTGAGGTCGTACAGCATTGCGGGCTATGGGTTGAGCATTGGCTGCAGTGTGGGGAGACGTGAGATGGTCGAGTGGAAGACGCTGGAGTGTAGTGTCCGTGTCTGGCGTGCAACGATGGGATGAGAGGGGCGGGGAAGGCCTGATGTTGAAGCTATCGTCAGGTTCTGAAGGTTCGGCAAGGCAAAAATCTGATGACTGAAAGAAGCTCGTAGGTACTTCAGGCAGGTAGATCGCTGCTCTACAGCGAGCCAGCCCTGCAGCTAGCGACTTAGCGGGTGACCCCGCTGTGGCTGCTACGGTTGTGCCTGCCCCAGCGCGCTGGACGTGTTCGTCAGGGGAGACGGCTTGGACGGGTCGCACCTGCCCCAGTGGTGCCAAGCCTGCACTGCCCCCTGCTGCGTAAGTGCCAGGCCTCGACCCAATCGGAGCCGTGGGCTTCAACCTTGCATCTCGCCCCGCAAGGGCCTCCCGCGCTCCGGTGCTTCCTACGTCTAGGCCTGCCTGAGCCTGTAGTCTGGAGCCTGGAGCCTGGCGCCCAAACGTTGAACGTTGAACCTCCCTTTCACTTCTTGCGCCCCCCAACCTTCGTCAACCCTGGGGACAGACCACGATCCTGACATCACCTTTGCCGACTCATCACGCCACCTTACGCAGACGGGTCGCTCAAGTTGCGCGACACATCTCATCTTCTTCACGGCGCGCCAACCCAGCCGCATCGTCCGAGACACGCCTTGCGACACCGCTCTCTCCGTCGCATCAGATCAGCCGCAGATCGCCAACGTGCTACTGTTGCTGCCGCTGCCGCTGCCTCGACCTCGACCCTGCCGCAGCCATGTTCTTCTTCTTCGTGTGCGGCGAGCACACCTTCCGCAAGCAGGTCGCCGGCTATGAGGGCATCGTCTGCCAGTGCTACAACTGTGGGCAACATGGCCGGCCATGTCATCAAGACGCATCCCTGGTTCACCTTTTGTTGGATCGTACGTTTCGACTCTCCCCGCCCAGCGAGGGGGCTCCTGTCCCCCTCCATTCAAAACAGTTCGCATCAGCTAACGAGTGCGTGCCGCAGCCCGTCGTCCCCTTGTCCATGAAGGGCTACACCGATGTCGTCTGCAGCATCTGCAACTTTGCCCAGCCGCTCGAGAACCGTCCGGACGTCATGGGCATGGCCAACGGCGGAGGCGGCGGATACCCGGTGCCGCCTCCGCAGGGACACCCACCGCAGGGCTGGGGCCAACAACCGCCGCCGCAACAGGGCCCGCGATACGGATAGGCGTGTCCCGGGGGGTGGCTATTGGGGGGACGGCTGTTCGTGGGGTTGCGTGTTCCTGCCCGAGGAGCACGATGGCGAGAAACCATACTGCGATGCTTTTTTATTTTCAGACCCAGGAACAGGAGTCGGGGCAGGGAGCAGGGACGGCGGGCGAGGTGGGGTTTCTTTTCTTCTCATTTTCTCCCCTTCCTTTTTTTTTTTTTTTTTCAATGTCGCCATACCCCCTTGAGAGGCGCGGACGAAGGCTGGCTGTGGTGTCGAGAGTCGTTGCAGCTCTTCGCGGACCCTTCCAACCCCACTGGCGAGGCGTTCTGGGGTACTAATATTTGTAAGGATAGCACTAGGTTTTTGCATGGTTTGGTCATGGTTGATGAGCTCGGTTTGACGAGGCGGTTTTATTTCGGCTTGTCACGCACATGGTGTTGTATGTCTCTACAGCGTTGAATGGAACAATGTTCCCCTGTTGCAATTCTGTTGTGGCGTCACACATGAGGAATGGCAATCACGACAGACACCTAACCGGAAAGTACTCATACAACGGTTATCCAACCGAGGAAATGCATTCATGATTGCTTGCTATGCATGCTCCTTCTCCTAGAACTTCCTCTATCCCATACCAGGCTGCCTTGCTCCCTTCACACGACCGGCCGTCAATGCCCAACACCCCCTGCAACCCAGTCGTTGAACGCAGGGTTGCCCTCAGGCGGGAACATGCCTGGGTCCTCTTGCGCCGGTGGCGGCGGCGGCGGCTGCTGAGCCTGCGCATTCGGTGCCATTCCCTGCTGCTGCTGCTGGAGGCGCCTCGCCTCTTCGTCTCGGCGGTGGCGTTGCTGCATCTGTTGGCGGTAGTAGAGCAGAAGCACGAGGCAGATACCGATAAAGACGATGAGGAGACTCTCCGTCATGTCGTCCTCAAAGATAAAGTCATCGCCAGCCTCGGCGTGCGCTGCCGTGTCGTCGTAGATGTCGTCGTAAAAGTCTTCCTGGTTCCAGAATGCGTTGTCATCCTTCATGAAATTCGAGATCCATTCACCCAGCGACCAGTCCTTCTTGGGTTCTGCATTCACATTAGCTGTGGTTCTTCAAAGTCAGACGGCAGGCTGTGCGCCAGATCACGTACCAGGATCGTCTTGGATGGAATGAATGGGTCCACGGGTGAAAGTGTTCCAGGCGCTCTTCAGGCGCAGCCTGAGCAGCGTCAACTTCACGGGCAGGTAGGCCTCCTCGTTGACTTCGAGCGCCTGGTCATAGAAACGCTTGGCGAGGTGGTAGTCCTGCGTCAGGCCAATGCCGTGCTCATGCATCCATCCCAAATTCCACAGGGCTTGGGCGCTCTGCGAGTAGTCGGAAGCGCCGGTGTAGCACTGCACCGCCTTGCGCAATGTCGAGCTCGGTGCCGACGCCGTAGTAGTAGGTGGG